AAATTCATGTTGAACAGACGTGGTTCTAGTTCACTACACTTTAATGCGGTTGGCTTCCAGGGCTCTATTCCTCGACCTGTATTGTTTCTTACATTTATAAAAGATCTTCCTGATGTCATCAGTTCCAAACTAGGAATTTATGCTTTAAACACAACTATTTACTCCTGTCTTAATAGCAAATCTAAGTTTGATAAAATAAAACTGGCAACTGTTCTCAAAAAGGATCTCCAATCAGTGATTAACTGGAGCAAGGAATGGCTTCTTGCTTCCAAAACAAATTTGCTTTCATTTAATCATCACAGGGAACTCTTTTCTGCCTGCCATCATTATGGCTGATGCTAATCTCCAGGAGAGCAATACTTTGTGCCTTCTTGGACTCAAGTTTTTCACTGACAGGAAGTGGAAAGATTTTATTGAATCAGTTGCTATGTCTACTACTAGAAAATTTGTTTCACTGTGTTTTTTTGTCAGAATACATCTTACACATTTATAAATCTACCATTTGTCTGTGCATTGAATATTGCTACCATATTTGGCTTGGTTCTCATGTTGAGATTTTTGACAAGATTCAAAGAAGGGTCTGTAATGTAATTGGTCCTGATCTGGCATCTCAACTTCAGTCACTTTCTCACCAACATGATGTTGCTTCCCTCCTTCTTTTCTACAAATATTTCATGGCAATTGTTCTTCTGAGATTTCCTACTTGGTGAAATGCTACTACATTGGCAACTAGGTCTCACTGTTAGGTAGAGGGGATCATATGTTTTATTTTAACAGTTTTTATCTTGCACTTCTCGACTGTGGAACTTTCTTCTGATTTCTTGATTTCCTGTCACCTGCAGTCTTCAAAAATTTAAATGAAACTCTAATCACTATTTTCAGTTTTCCTGAAACTTCTTTCTTTATTTTTCTTTCTCCTCACTTCTCACTAAAGTCTTCTCATTCTCTTTCACTCCCAGTAACCCCTTGTGTCTTAGTGGCATTAACACCTTGCTTGGGGTGAAATGATTAAAAAAAATGTAAATATTTAAAAAATGTGGAGAAAAATATCTTTCATTCTTTCCCATGTTGTTTTCTCTTTCATCTTTTTCCATCTCTTGAATCTCTTTCTACTTCTTTTTCTTTCTCTCTCTCATTTTCTAGCTTTCCCTGTCTTTCTCTTCCTTTTCATCTTATATACTCTCTCTCCTCACCTCTCTTTCTCCCATCACCTATTTTCTGATGAGACTTTCAATTGTGAACACAGCCATAAATCACTGGCTGTATTCAGGAATTAGGAATATGTTTATGTCTCAGCAAATTACACACCATTTTCAACAGTACAAACGACATTCTTGAACATGACCAGTAGGATGACCAAAAGCATTTATATAAACAAGCATTGGGATAATCTCTTATTTGCACATTGTAAAAACAATAAAAGTACCTTGTCAGTCAATTTCAATGAAACATATATTAGAGAGTTATTGCTTTCCAAATATGCAACATTGGAAAAATTATATTGAAATATGTACATTATATTGGAATATACAACATTGGAAAAATTATATTGAAATATGAACATTATATTGAAGTATGGGGAGGCATGTTAGAGTAGTGGATAGTGGCTCAGATTGAGGAATTGGTGATCTGAGTTCGAATTCCAGTCGAATCAATTGCATTCACTTACATGCTAAATACCCTTGGGAAAGGTATGAATCCTCTTATCCCCACACCCAGATATCGGTAAATATCAGGAAAGACCGGGTTCTATAGCCTTGGATAGCAACTGGTCTACTGCAAAAAGAAATGGCAAACTACTGTGGGAAAAAATCTGCCTTGTCAGTCATGTATTGAAAGATACATGATTGCCTATGTGTGTATCTCGCATGGTACATAACTGACTGATATTGAAATATGCAACATTGGAAAAATTATATTGAAATATGAACATTGGAAACATTATATTGAAATATGTACCAGAAACCAAGAAAATGATTTGAAATATAGAAAAAAATAAATAAAAATAAATCATCCTTTCATGGGGCTTTAACTAAAATTGTATAAATAAAAAATTGCTGGCCAAATACACCTAATTCAAAATAATAAGAGATAGTTAAAATTTCTAGAGCATATAATGAGGAAATAGGGCTTGGAAAATTTAACACTCACAGGACATATTGAAGATAGAGGGACAAAGGAAAGCAGTGCATAACCTACATAATGAGCTTGTGTAAATGTTTGATCAAACAGGAATTAAGAGAAATAGCAAAAAGATAAAATTTACTAAGGAAGTTGTGGAAGTGAGGATCATTCAAATCCTGAAGGGTACAACATATAGAAGTTGAGGTCAACAGCGATTGGTGATTTTCATGGCTTGAAGATTGTATTCAAGTTTTTAACAGACTCCTGCCACTTGATGTTAACCTCAGTGTCCACTTTTAAATTTAGATATACTCGTTTGAGCACTTTTACATCTAAATCTAGCATACCTTAAAACTACATATCTTTATCATATATATATATATTGTCACGTAGCCACGATTTCATTAACCATATAGGCATTAGGCTAAAAAGCACCTCAAAGCAAAATCTTAAATTCTAGTTGAAAATTAGTTAGATATAAAAGAAAAATAAATAAATAAATAAATATAATCCAATGCTTTTGACTTGCGAGCGAATATGTTCTATGATCAGCTATATCCTCCTTTTCTCTTCACAAATTCTTTTCCCTCCTTATCTACTCTTCCACCCACAAGCCAAGGGCCCATGAACTTTGAAGTGACCCGACGCGAGAATGACCTGGTTCCAAGATTTCTCAGCTATCAGGCGTTTGACCATGAGTGAATTCCAGGCACCATCAGGGTCTCCTGCTGCGATTCACGTGATCAGAACATACTAAGCGTGTATTGAACTTTTGGCCATCACACAAACACTGTGTGATTTGCGCCCTATCCTTCTGCGTACCCGGTCAAGGATGAAGGGAACCCACGTGACTGTTTTTGGGGACAGCGGAAATCTAAAAAAAGGATTTTCAGTTTTCCCTTTGACAAGCAGCAGTTGAACGTTGCTGGGCAACTCACCCCGATTCCAAAAACAGACTGCCCACTGAGATGAAGAAGACAGCAAGGTCTGTCGACTAGGGGTGAAAGGACTGCTATGAAACTCATCAACCCAACGAAACGCCTGTACGAGATGCTGTGGACCCTCGAACATCTGTGAAAAGAAAAGAAATCTAGGAAAATTGCCGGCTGGCCAAAATGTTGTTTTAGCATCAGAACTCTCGCTTCGGTGAATCAGAACTTTGTGTGAAAATATCAACTCGACTGAAAGATAAGTTGATTCTCTTTGACTTGGTTTGATCTGTTTTCATATATGTATGTATTCGCTCGCGCCTTCTATTCTTTAATGATTTCCTTCCCCTTTGTTAAATGAATGTTCTTTTTTTTTTCTTTCTTTATTTCTTTATATATATTTATAAATAAATGTATTTTGAAATCCATCGTCTTGTGTCTGTTCTTCGTTGATTCCCTTGTGTCACTTCCATTTCTGAGTGAAGGCCGAGAAAAGATCCGTTTTCCTTTTTTTAAAACCCATGGTTCATCTATATGCTACAAGTCCGTAACAATATATATATATATATATATATATATATATATATTTATTTGATAGATGTGAGTTTGTCACCCTGGGTTTCACGCTTTAGCGATCGTCAGACAAACTGATTAATGTTTTAAAAAATTTGGGTTTATGTAGATTGCGTGTATTGGTGTTATTGTGGAAGTGGTGGGGTCACGCTTTGGCAATCGTCAGACAAACTGATTAATGTTCTAATAAGTACCGCGCATATAATATATAAATAATTATACATATATATATTTATTTATATTTATATACACTTTTCACACATATATATATATATATATATATATATATATATATATATATATATATGTGTGTGTGTGTGCATATTCCATACATTATTTTAGTATATATTTATACCCATGCTTGAGTAGATGTATATATATATTGGAAGAAAGGTGTATGACAAAGTGTAAAAAAAAAATTGTGTGGTGCTTTTTGTCTATTAGGACTTCATTAGATTAAGTGTTTAAAAACTTAGTCTTCTTTGGAACTTAATTGGTGTAAAGTTTTAAAAACTTAGTTCACTGGACTCCTCAGGGATGAAATACTTTGCACAAAAACTTTTTCCACTTTGTCATACATCTTTCTTTTAAAATTGTTCTTGATATATAAAATTTATATATCATCACACACACACAAACATATATATATATATATATATATATATATATATAAAAAGCTCAAACACTAATATTCCATGGTTATAATTTATTACATTAAAATCGTAATTGGATCATGATTACAATTCCAATGTATTAAATTATTACCATGGAATATTAGTGTTTGAACCTTTTATATTATATTTCTTACTCTATCATGGACATTGACCTCTACCTGGATTCTATCCTCTTGAGAATTTTATATATATATATATATATATATATTGACCAATAAATATTATCGATATCTATATATATCTATATCTATATCTATATATATATATATACACATGACCACTAATATTATCTATATATATATATATATATATATATATATATATATATATATATATATATATTTCTAATTTTTTTATTTAAACTACCCATTATTTGCTGTCCATAAGAGTGCTTATTTGATTTTTTTAAAGTTGTATGAAAACCAGTGGTGGTTGTTGTTTTATGTAAGTCTGCAAATAGGTTAACTAAGCTTGGTTGCTGTTTGTATTTGTCTACCCACCCTCATGCCTGGGAAAATTTCTATGATTAATTTCTCAGGTGACATGGGTGTATGTTTGTATTATTTTAAAAAGCACTAAATCCTTTTCTTTTACTTCTGAAATTTGTACTTTTAAGATTTGCGACAGTCAAACAACATAAATAATTGAACATATTCATCATAATGGAATATGGTCTTTTTATTTTTCCTTCTATTTATAGATTTGAATACACTGTGAAGAAAGATGGATGGCTTGGTGGTGGTCAAAAAGTTGTTGAATTTCATTTGGGTGAAGGTGATCTTGCTCAGCTCAAACCTTCTGGAAAATGTCTGCATGTGACCATAGGTCAGGGACTTCCCAAAGACTCACGTAAGAATTTTTGTTGTCTGAAATTAACTATTATAAAATAATTATTTTACATTATTTGAAAAATTAATCAGACAAGTATCCTTACTTTTGTTGTGTTCATCATTGCATTTTTTGCCCAGTGAGTTCTTGGGCATTTTCTTTTGCAGCTGTATAGTGCATCTGCTAATATACAATTTATTTTTCTCTATTTCTTCATGAGGATTAATCAAAAGGCTGATAATCTTTGATCCAAAATTTTCATTGTATAATGCTAAATCAATCTGACTAATGAAGAAGTATTAGGTTGAGTGCATTGACAAAGATTATATTGAAAGATAAACATTTATTGTGTAAAATAAATGTTTTTTTTTCACCATTAGGCTACAGATATATTGATTTATTTACATATTCCCCATCAGATTAAGTGCATTAAAAAGGAAGGGTGTTATATTGAAAGATAAACATTTATTGTGTAAAATGAGTGCTTTTTTCATCATTAGCCTATGGATTTATTGACTTCTACCAATAAAGATGAACAGCTTATATAGTCATCATTACTGTCTGTCCACACATCATAAGTTCTCAATGTATTTCAATGTCATTTTGTGGATGGGTAGGCAATGAGCCAAGAAAGATTTGGTTAAATTTTAAGGAGACATTTTATGTATTAAGACAATAGTTTGAAATATATAGAAAAATTAAAACTTTCACTCTGTACTGTATCGATCAATGAACTAATTTTAGTTTAGTTTTTAGTAACAATGGTGTAGGCAGAAGTATGTGTTCCCTCAGGATCTTTTTGGTTTATTTATTTACTAATCTGAGCAGCAGATGAATTTTTTTTATACAAACTGGTGAGGAAATAAAAATTAAGAGAAAAATGATTTGACAGTGTATCCACTGGTCAGTAATTGTAGCAATAAAAATAATAAAAAATGAAGAAAATTGTCTCCATCAAATAATGACAATTCAATAATTATTTAATATTTTAACCTTTAGCTTGTATTTGGATATGCTAAAGTTTCCTTATTTAGTATATTTTATTGTATATAATTGTTATAAATTAGTAGAAAATAAAATTGTAACATCCTGAAGGATTTTAACCTGTGCATACTAGTGGGTAGTAGATCTCTATCTATAAAAGGCAGAATGTATGTGTGTGTGTGTGTGTAATGAATGCATGGTCGCAATTTTTGACGGATTTGCACCAAAATTTACATGCACATGCTCCAAGTTATCGGAAAGGCCAAGACTGACTTTGCATTTCCCAACTCCCATCGATAGTGGAAATAATCAAATTTTTCATGCTTCTACGGCAGTTTTCATGTAGTTTGTGGCCATTTTGTACTGGCCAGAGTGAGAGCCAATAGCTGGCTGCCACGAATAGGCAGGAAGATTCTATTGGCCAGCGTGAGAGCCAACAAGCTGACTGACACGAATGTTAACTAGCATGCAAAAAAATCAATACCTGCATTCATCACAAGTGGGAAAAATTTAAATCTGCATGGCCCTTTACTCCAATTGGCTCATTCACTTGCTTAAACTCAACGTTAATTCTGATTCCACAGAACTGGGTTGGGTGTGATACATTCTTTTTTATTCAGTTTTTCCAGTTATGAGTCCTTTTTTAAAGCTGATCGTTTTGTGTTCATTTTGTTTAGTTCTTTTTTCGTAACAGATTTAATGTTTAGTATAGAGCTTAGAAAAAATTTGCAGTGTGAGATAGGCAAGAAGTAAGGCATGCAGCAACATCAGCACAGCAAAGGGCACTCCTTTAAAGGCAAGGAAGGGCAAAAATATTTTAAGTCAAGTGATAGTGATTACTGTATGAGTCGTACGATTTTTGAATCAAGCACAGGCAATGCCGGCTATGCTGCTAGTACTCTGATAAAATTTTCAGTCTTTGGTCATCTTTTGATAGAGTAACACTCATACAAGTGCACCATTTGTCCTTAAAGACAGTCACATGTTATGATTTAGAGAAAATGTCCAGTACCAGTGCTAACAGGGCGTTTAAGGCCATATCATGTTGCAACACCGGTTCTTGTACAATCACCAAAGTTAAGCAATGTTGAGCCTGGTCAGTACCTAGATGAGTGACTACTTGGGAATTTTTTTTTATATTTTTGCAATTTTCTTGAATGGCTGAGTCAGTTAAACCATATAGGATCTAACAATGATTTGCTTTTCCCGGAGAGATGCCTGTTCAAATCCTGCTGGAGAGCAGATATTTTTCTTTAATATGATTTAGTGGACAAAAACAAAAAAATATAGTTTAATAACTTAATGTTGCATCTACTCAAATATCGACTAAAAAAATTAGGTTAAGTTCAGGTGGGATGTGGGTGTCTGCCAACAAATCATTATTCAGTGAGCCATGGATTTCAAATGATAAAAAAATTTTAGGCATTTTCATTCTTCTGCTTAATTCATATTTTTATACACAAAGACTTTCTAAAAGGGTCATTTAAATATGTGCAAGTCATTATTAATACTTAAATTTTATTAATTAAATTTTATTCTTATCTAAATTTAACCTGACTTTGTAAGTAACATATATTGGGTATATAAGCTGTCTAGGGAAATTGAAGCCCAGCTACCCCTAAAATAAAAATAGATTTTCCTTAACCTTAACAACTCATAATATCAATATTGTTTGCACTTATAAATTAAATAAATCTTTTTGAAACTTTTATTCTTATCATCACTTGACAATGGAAGTAAACTATGGATCTTAAGTTTAATTTTTATAATTGAATTTATAAATTTAGTTTCAGATTTGAAACATGGGAATTTTCTGTGTTGTGATGGAATCATATTTTTAAAAAGAAAATAATTATAATATTTTGCTCTATTGTTTGTAGTGAGCACTATTTTTTTAAAAATAAAAATAACTGCTAAGAACACGAGATTATAAATCTTATTCTTCTTTCTTATTATTTTTATATATATATACCTGTTCAGTCTGTAAAGAAAAAAATCATTCCTCGGTCACTCTATTGACTCATGTCTAATTCTTCCTTCTTTCCTTTCTTTTCTCTCTCTCCCTCTCTCCTTCTCTTCCCTCCCTCCCTCCCCCCTCTCTCTCTTTCTCCTTCCCAACCTCCAATTTTTTTTTAAATCTTATATTGAAATTCTTCTTTTTCTTTCTTCCTCTTTTAGTATAAAAATCTTTTTTCCTTTTTTCTTTTTTTCTTTCTCTCCCTTTTTCTTTTTGTCTGGACAAATTGACTCCATTTATTAAAAAAAATTCAGTCTGAAGAGATGAATATTTATATATAGTCATGAAATAAATTATAACCAAAGACTTTTAAGGATTGTCTGTATTTATTATCATATTGCTCCGTTTATTACATTGAGCTTTCTTTGGATTCATGCCCTCCTTGGAATTATCCCTACGAATATATATATATATATATATATATATATATAAATATATATATATATATATGCAAATTATTGTTGTTTGCATGTGTGATGTACATCTAGATTGCAACATTTTCACCTGCAACACACATGACCATCTCTTGGCATCATAGTGTTGGTTGTCTTATAATTGTAACTCTTACTCTTTTGTGCTTGGGGAGAAAATGTTGAACAGTGCCATGAATGTCCAGAACATTCTTCAAGCTGTTCTGCTGCCATTTCTACAATAAGGAGGTTATGTGCTGTTCTTTATATACTTGGAATACTGAAGAAATGTAGATAATTTCACTCTGTGTAAGTAATATGGTGAGTCCAGCTGTAAAGGTCTGAACTGGTGGAACTAAATAATGGAACTCATCTGAACCTTTTCTGTGGAAATTATAATAGAGTAATGATAAGCCTGTGATTTTGTTTCTGTGATAAAGAGGTGGAAGAGTGGAGAATAAGTTTTCTTTTACAAGATTTGCATGAGTGATTTTGAACTCTATCAAGACTTTAATCCTTTTGTTTTGAAATCTGTGCATGTATTGATCTGTATATGTGAATGTCTACTGTAAGCCAGCTATATTAATGTATTACAGAATTAATTTCAACTTGGAACTAATTTCAACTATGAATAAAAGTAAATAAAAAATGTACTACTTCATTCATTTACAACAAAAAAGAATAAAAGTTGCAGAAAAGATGAATTCTGAATTATCTGATCTACTAAGGCTTTTTATGCTAAATTAAAAAATTAACACCAAATCATTGCATTTTGTTGAGGAATTCATGGAAATTCATAACTTTTATTTTAAATCGAGTTGAAATTAGTTCTGAGTTGAAATTAATTCCAAGTTGAAATTAGTTCTGAGTTGAAATTAGTTTTGTCACTCATATTAACTAGACATTTCATATTGGGTAAAAAGGAAATGGGTATTCAGGGCATAACAATTTTATTTTTTCTCAGTGTATATTATTTCTATAAATGTGAAAACAACTCCCAGAAACAAATTTGTAGATAACCTTATGAAAGGCAGTAATTTTGGTTAGATTAAAGTCTAGATAAAAAAAAATGAGAACAAAGGAAATCTTTTGTTTGAACTGTTAACCTTTTTGCTCCTAATGATAACCCTAAAATATATATCAGTTAATAACAGTTGTTAATTTTTGTAAATAACCTCATTAAATCTCAAATGTAATCCTTCTGAATGTCATATATGCAAATGTCAAGGTTAATAATATTCTTTTTCTGTCTTTGTTGGTTGATGTTTTTTATTTATTTTTAAAATGTTTTGGTCTATTATTCTCTATTTTTCTTCACAAATGAAGAGAGTTTAAGCAAATATTTGATTTTTATTTTGTGTTTTGTATTTTAATGATTTGTTCTAAATTTAATGCAAATATTTTAATTTCTGAGTGTTGCTTGAGCTTGTTTTTGTAGTTACTGCAATATTTTGGCTGATGCAATCTACAGGTATACAATCTATGTAGAAAGAGAGGGGACATGTTTGTCAGTCAGTCAGTTATGTGCCATGAGGCAGATTTTTTCCCACAGTAAGTTGCCATTTCTTTCTGCGGTAGACCAGTTACCATCCAAGGCTACTGAATCCAGT